TATATATATTATCATATAACAATTTTTATAGCGGAATATAGTTTATATATATAACCATTTACAAAGATTAAAAGGTTATATGAATAGATAGTGTCCGCTATAAAAACAAGAAATGATTCAAAATGTGCTGTTTTATAAATTGAGCATGTTTGTTTAACAAATAAATTGAATACGAGCTATTTAGCGAGTCGTATACGTGCCCATATATACAAATTAAAGATTTTTTAACATCACCAATAGTGGGGCCTACATGCATCAAGCTTCTAAGAGCCATCCTTCATTGTTAAGAGAAAGAATGACAAAATAATAAATTATTATTATATATACATGCATTCATTCATCTCTAGAACAATTTTGAGTCTATTGATTGTTTTGTTTGAGTCAGTGCTACCTAGTCATGTTTAATCATTGTTGAACAAATTAACTGCAAAGGGAGATTCAAATAAGAATAAAACGATGAAAAATGCCCACTGATAGAAGACCATGAGGCCTACTTATTCGACCGAGTGCAATTGTATGAGCCAAAGTCACCAAGGCTAAAGCCGACCGAGTGCAGCAATTTGAGCCAAAGTCGATCAAGCCAAGAACGACGATCGAATGACTCAAATTTGAACCGTTCAGCAGGAGTGAGCCAAAGAAGAATTTCAGTCAACTGCCACAAAGAAGCCGACCAGGGAAGACTAAATCTCTCGGCATCTCCAATCATGCATGGGATGTCTTAAAGCTCCCGCAATCACTATCAAGGGTCAATAACTAGACTAGATTAGCCGAACAAGACTAGTCGGTCGAACTGATCCTGTCATTCAGAAGCAAAACTCAGTTGACCGAGTCAGAGAGCAGTCGAGTAATAGGGTCATACCTGTAAAATACTTAGAATAGCTTGTATAGCCCTCATTAAAGCAAGGACAAAAATATAACATCATCATATTATATTATCTCTCTAATAAACAAGGAGATCATTTCATGAACAAGAGATATTGAAATTAGCCTTAAGGGGCTAGAAAGGTCCACACGAATGACACTTATTACTGTTCATTCTTTTCTCTCTCCTGACATACGCTCTATTCCTAGAGTTGTGGTCCGCGGACAATTCATAATTCAAACTGTTGGATTCAAATATGTCTAGTAGATCGTGCCCAATTAATGGAGTGTTGGACCAAGGAGAGGTAATCGAGATAAGGGGTTAAATGAGAGAGATGAGGAGGACATTTAATGATCGGGGGGAAATATAGTGTTCACAGGCTGGTTGACCCATTTTATTCCATAAAATTAGAAGTTCCCCTAGTAAGGTCCTCATTTTTCCATCATGAAGCCCTCATATTTATAGAAGATAGGAGGGATAAAATGTACAAAAATTACATATTTAGCTATGCTTTGAAAAGAGAAGCAGATGACATTTTAGTCTTTTTTATTTCGACGGTCGGATCGGCTCGAGATCAATGCAAACTTTCATGCCCATGTTTGTCAGCTAACTGAAGTAAGGGGGTTTAGGTTAAGTGAGGTAGTCAAGTGAGAGAGCTTGGTCGGCCGACTGAAATGAGGTTGCAGGCTATTAGATTGCTTCGAGATCAGTGCAGTCATATATAAGAGCTGATAGTTTGGTTTGGCAAAGCAACATGCATGCACAACAACAGCATCACCTAATACCTAACTCCTGAGTTTTGCAAGAGTGGCAAGAACATGAGCAAGAAGGTCTTCAATCAAGAATGCTTTCTCCCTCAACGATGGTATCTTCGCATAAGCCTCCTCGCAAGTCTCCGGACAAATATTTACAATCATGTTGATCTCCCAACTAGTGCAGTAGACTTCGAGTTTCTTCAACGCATCCCTATAATATGCCTCCTCTTTTGACACCATGGCGGGTCTCTTTCCCATAGGATCCATCGCTGAGTCGTCACAACCTTCAATTTCTTGATGGGATCTCTTTTTTGAGACAGGAGAAATGGGAGAGGGAATCGGAACTGCATACTGATCATCGTAACAACCTTCGTCATCAGGATCATAACCAGAAATTTCCTTATTTTTTCCTCTGTCTGCCATTTTATAAGCGCTTGAATGCTGAAAAATATAATCTTTATGCATTATATGGCATCAAAAGAATTGAAGATCTTCACATATTAAGTTTATCATTGCAGCATCAATCAAAAAGTTAAGAAAAAAAAAAGATTCTATATATGGTGAAAATAATAACCAAGACATTCATGGCCTATTGGTTATTCATGTTATAAAAGATAATATTAGCCAAATTATATATATCAACATTAGATTGATTCTCCTTCCAGAGATATGTATGATCTCTTCTTTTGCCATTAAGGAACTCAGCCCTTTTGCAATCTTTGTTTTTACTAATAAAATTATGGTTCATACAAAAGAAGACAATTTCAAAGCTATTGTAACATTAGATATAGTTTGATAGGCTAAAAAAAACTTAGTAAATAAACTTGAACAAATTTTAAAACTTGATGTAAATTAGTACACAACTTGAACTCCGTAAAAAAGAGAAATAGAAGCATGAACAAAGGGTATTCGACTCGGTTCAATCCACCTAAAGCTTTAAAATATGACATTGTACATGACTATCAAATCGCATCTTGCTTGCAAGATTAGCTGCAAAACTCAAGAGTTTGAGAGAGAAAAAGACAAGTAAAATCTTAAGATTTTTTATTACCGGAGCGAAGAAAGCTTGAGACGATAAGTTAATGTGTAATGTCCTGATTTCTAATTACTTACTTATAAGTGGTGGTCCATCTTTTATAGGAAAGTTACATTAAAGGTAAACACATAAATTATAGAACATGGTACAATAATAAATTTTTATACAATAAAAGATACGGTGGTTGTAATGCTATTTTTAAAGATAAGAATAACTCTATATATACTATATATTAAAGTAGTGCACAAAGCCTATAACATATTTGATTAGAAGATACTTTTTGCTATAAGAACAATGGAAACCCAAAAATTTATACATCACACTTCATATTTTTTTATCATAATAAATGTATGTATGTATGTATGTATGTACGTATGGCCCATCTATATGTAACAAAATTATACTAGTTTATATGAGGCTCTACTACTTAACATGTATATTTTTTGTAACTTTAAACTAAATTTAATCTTATTACATGCATACACATAAAAGTAAAGTAAATAATTATATAAATTATTTAGGTGTTTTTAGGGCTTTGGTCTAAATTAATTTTGATATAAAAAAAAATACATAATTTATTCAAGTAAATAATTATATAAATTAACCTAAGACATTAAAAATTATTATAAAATCCAATAAAAAGATTAATTTTTTTTTAAAACAAAGAAAAAAACTAATATCTTAATTTTTAATCAAAAATAAATTAATTAAATCACAAAACTCTTAAATACAATCATGTTTTACACCATGACCGAGTCGAAAAACTCGTATTGATTATCGTGTACAACATGATTGTAATTGAAATTTTCTCGGATATAAATATATTTTACACTATGATTTTCACATCGGATTGTTTATTTGGATATATTTTTTTTTTACTTAGTACATCTCCATTTTTTATAATACAATAATATTTTATATATTTAACGCAGCATCAAATTTTAATTGAAGTCCAGAAGTATATTTATTTTAAGGGCCATAAAGAATGATTTCAGGATATTTCTGTAAAAAAAAAAAAATCCATTACAAAAGCATAATTGCGTAAAGCTTGCATAAAACCGACTAATTAATTCCTACTATTACACAAGAACAAAAGGTATTTACAACATCACCCAAGGCACAAGATGCCAACAAGCATCACGGCCACAAACCTCCCAAAAGGACGAGGTATATGCTTAGTAAAAATATACTTATATTATTACAGTTTTCATCATTATTATTTATATATAATGGCAGCCTAGTCTTCAACCCGAAAAAAATATTATATCATAACTCTTAATATATTTGAAGTCCGGTGTATTACGATGAAACCCACTTGATACATGACGCCCGCCTATAGACTCCGAACACAAACTGCGTTAGGAGTCCTAATGTAATATTTTCTCCTTCAACGGTGCTTGCTCCTTGTCTCGTCACTGTACATCCTACAAAATAAATATTTAAAAAATATTAATTACATTCATACCCCTAAAAAGCATCCTTCGTAAAGGTTTATATACATGGAGCACATATTATGTTAGGACTCCTAACGTAGAGAACCATTCGGAATTCAAACAAGTCACTTGGCGTTGACAGAAAAAAATAAAAATCAATCTGGCGGAATATTCCCCGTGATATTACGTATTATTCATATATTATTATATGTTATACATGTGTTATTGTATTCTGAAAATATTCTTGTTGTTGTGATAACAAAATAACACATCAATAACACTTGAATATTCTCGGTTTTGTGATTTCATTTGACTCTGAATGATTCTCTACGTTAAGAGTCCTGAATAGATTCACATATCTAAAATATCAACTTTAATTTTTATTTACATAACATTTAATGCTCAAATCAAAATTTATTCATAAAAAAAATATTTTAATTTTAAAAAATAATAGTAATATTATTTTAAATCTGGTTTAAATTTTGAAAGATATGTAAGTAATTATCAGGGTGGTTCTAATCAAGCCCCACCTCCTCTCAATATATATATATATATATATATATATATATATATAATTTCCTTTTCTCTTCCATTTATTCTTTATTTTGTATTAATTATATTAAAATTTTATAAATTCATCATAACAATCTATTAAAAAAAAATCTTATATTATATTTGAAACATAAAAGGCCATTATGTTAACTAAATGAAGAAAAAAATTTACAAAAATACCAGTCATAAACAGTGGGGGTATTTGGCTGAGGCCTATCGAAGAGATCAGCACCAATCGTCTTGGCGTTAATATTGCTCCCCGGGTGGAACACGCTCCGCCACACGTTGGCCTTCTTCGCCGGCTCCGCCGCAGCAGCAGACAGCGGAGACGCCGGCGTCACCGGTGTCTCTGGCATCGACATCGATCGTTGGTACAGCTTGCCATGGTTGATGAGGAGAGGGTTGGCTGAGGTCTTTCCACGGAGCTTGCTGAGGCCTCTTTCAGGTTGAGGTCCAGCGAGCACATCGTCCCATAGCTTCTCCAAAAGAACCATTTTTTTTTCTTTTTTAATCTATTCTTCTTCTTCCGCTTTCTCTGTTTTTTTATTTTTTTAATGCTCTGTTTAGAGGAGGGATGAATCGGTGTGTATTTATAGTGAATAGAGATATGGAGGAATGGTTTAGATTGATCTTAGGTGATCTTACCTCCACGTGAGAGAGAGCTTTATTTATTTATTTATTATTATTATTTTTTTATTGTTAATTTTTTTATATCATTTATCCAAAAATTAAATATAAGATTTTAATCACTCAAAAATTAAAAAACTATTTTTTGAGTAAATTTAGAAGGGTTATTATAATAAAAAGAAAGATAAAAATGTTATATTTAAATTTGATTATTTAATGTTTTAGATGATTGATATGTAAAATTAAAAAATAATTTTTGAGTAAATTTTAGGAGGAGACTGTAACCGGACGGTGAGTGTAAGAGGACGTTATGACAGGGGATAAGGATAGGGTGTGGGTCCCACGAAAACTATCTGTCGCATTTTCTTGTTGGACCGGATTTAGATCGCCACGTGATGGACGCGTGGTTATCCAGCCGATCCGTATAATCAGCCGAAACTCATGGGTTGGGCTTTAAATCATTTTTAAATTGGGCTTCACATCATTTGTCGTTTTGCCGGGCCAGCTACTCTCAGCAATATTGATTTCAAATGTTACAAGCATCCTCAAAATCATTATTTACTTTTGGATAGTTTTTTTTTATTATTATTTTTCCTTGCAATGGATTCAAAGTTGGTTGATAATTTTAATTTCAGCAAAAATTTCAAAGCTTATATAAAAATTCAGTTTTGATGACACTTTGGATGAAATTTAGGAATTTTAAAAGTGACTCATAATATTTCAATAAACATTTACTAGAGTCTTGAGCATTTTACAATTTCATTTTAATTTCACATGTGTTGTAATTTGAACTCACCCTAAAATATGATATGAAGAGTGGTTCGCTATAGTTGGGGAGGCATGCAGTTGATTAAATAGGCAATAATTAGTATTATATCTGACCAAATGTTTGGTGGTAGGTTGGAGTCAGCAAATAGAGTTCTTATTGTTTCTCAAACAGACTTGTTTTCCGCTAGGCCATTCTGTTCAGATGCGTAGCAAAATGGTCTATAATGCCATGGGTTGTTGATGATTTGGTTAATTGATGATTTTTGTATTCCCCACCCCTATTAGATTGTATAAATTTAATTTGAGCTTTATATTAGTGTTCAACCTACTATTTGAATTATGAAATACGTTAGAACTACATATTTATATGCCATGTGGAACACGAATGCTATTTGGTTGCATCATCAATCAAAATGACATAAAATTTATAGCTCTAATTGGAGAGGTTTAGAGAAAACCACCGAACATCAGAATGGACAAGCAACCACAACTTATTTTTGGTTAGGTTGTCATTGAATTTATTAATCTCTTCACTATAGAGAAGAGTTATGGTTTTCAAGGCTAATGGGAGTAAGAGTCATCCTGACTTCAATTTTGAATGCATGATATGTTGGAGGGAGACCTTTGGGAGTATATAGGGTAATATTTTATGTCTATGGACGATCATGTCGCAAATATGTTATCTACAAGTGATTTAATTTTGGTGAGGTATTGCATCATAATTTGATTTTTCATGGACACGCTGTGTAATTTATTTTTTAGTTGAATTACTTCTGATCTATTCAGACAGTTTTTCAGGTCTCTCCATATCTCATAACAATTGTCGAGAGATAGCGGAAATCAGGCTGTAATCTATTAGCATTCATGTATTGTAGGCTGGGTTGGGAATTTGTTGTAGTGTTGGGAGGCTAGGAAATGAATTCATTTGTGAAATCAGCTAAGTCATGTATTATCAATCTTATACTTTCTAAGAATAATATGATGCATTGCAATTTGTATTTCAAATCAAACTCAAATTATATGCAAACGACTCGAAGTAAAATTAAAATTATTTTCAAATTTAGAGAGCAGCCAAGAACCAAGTCAAAATCAACTAATTTATCCTAGCAGCAACAAATGCCAGCAAGCAAGCTGATTCCCTGAGCAAAAACTGAATAAGAATCACCAACTAAAGTGGCATTATGACTAAGAATAAAGCTTTATCTATCTAAGAATATAGAGATTCGATAGTAACAAGATACTAAATAAAGGCAATCAGAATCAAATCTCGTATACAGCCCTGCACCACAAAAATAATGAGATTCCCCATAAAAACTGAGTCATTTGAAATATGTGCGTATAATGTTAAGAGCTCAGCTCTGTTCATGAGCCATCTCATTTATCATGCATCAGAAAATGAAAATTCAAATAGTTATTGTCATTATGATGAAAAAAAAAATGAAAATTAAAAAAAGGAAAGATGAAAATAAATGTTTGAATACATAACATAACACATTGGTCAGAAACAAAGTGAAAAGTCACAAGTTAATGAATTTGAACATCCATTTTGCCCCAAAAATATGGAAAAAAAGAAATAAATAGAATTTTTTTTTAAATATTGTTAATAACAATGTCCTTATATTCTTAAATTCAGATATATTTTAATTGTATTTTACATTTAATATGTTTAAGTGAGTCAGGTCATGACCTGACGACTTTAAGGTGGTTGGCTAACCAAGCTTAATTTATAGAAAAAATGTTATGTAAGAATAGGTGTGCTCGAGTGTAATCCAGATGTACTTGGAGTGTGCACCGCTAATCCACACGTAGGCATGACCGCTTGTAATATTTTCTTCAAGTTGCAAACCATTTATCAAGCTGAGCCCAACCAGACTTGCACATGAATCCCGAAGAAGAACAAAATTGCAAGTTGAATCCTTAAAAATAGAACAAAATTTGCACACTATTATAAATTGACAAATTTGACATGTCTTCTTAGTATCATAATTACAAATGCTCATGAACTTGATTAAGAACACCAGATTTCAAACGCTTGACATTCAGTTTAGAAAAATCGTGTTTATGTTATGAGTGCAATTTTGATGTTTTTTTCCTGCAGCAATAAAGTAGACTGGTCCTACAAAATAACAGGCACAGTACACCAGCACTTTGGCTATAGCAAAGAGCATGTCAACAGGGCTGGTTCCAAGAAAAAAAATTAAAATAAAATATGGCTGGTTCCAAATAGAGTTTCTCCTGCCTACATAATTTGCCAGAATAAAATATTTAAGTTTTAAGGACCAATCTTTCAATTACAGAAGGTATTTTAGCATAAAAGCAGCTGTAAAAGTCATATATTTCTCACATGAATTGAACTGAAATGATGCAAGAAGTAGGCAACCTTGAATTTTAATATATTTTATAATAGTATTTTGGGAAATTTACATACAAACCACACATTTTTATGTGTTTACGTATCTAACACCTAAAGTTTGATATTTACACTTATAACATCTTGGTGTCATAAACCTATGCATGAAAAGGTATAAGTTTCTTTTAAAAAGATAGTGATGATGGTATTTTAGATGTTGTGTCAAAGATTTGGGTGGGTACACATGTAAATATCAATGTTTAGGTGTTAGATATATAAAAACATAAAAAATGTGTGGTATGTTTGTAAAAACCCCTAGTATTTTTAAATGAGCTGTCTAACAAGCTTATAAATGGGTTCAGGTCTACTCAAGTTTGACTTGCTATCTGATTAAGCTGAGTTCAGGAGTCATTTAACCAAGTTGAGCCTGAGTTAACTTACAAGTCAGCTCATGAATAAGAGAATACACTCATCACCAACAAGTAGACTTTATTTCAAGAATTGATATGCTTCGAATGCATGTAAATCAGCATATTTTCAAGCCCTTAAGAGCAAATATAATAATAATGGAACATGGAGAAAATTTTCATGCAAAATAAGCTCAGAAAATAATTCACGAGTCAAATTTCTTAAGGAAGATTTACGTACATATCACACAATTCCTGTGTTAATTCATATACATATTTAACACCTAAACTTTAATTTTTCACATACATACCATCTTACCTATACATGAAAAGGTGTAATTCACGATCTGTTATTGTGTGCGGATGGGTCTGGCGCACGCGAGATGCCGTCCAATGAAAATTTTTTTAAAAAAAAAAATTTAAAAGTGGGCCCACTGACATACATTTTTTTGTAAAGGAGTCTTGGTAAAGGAGAAATTTTTATTGGCCCACCGCACACCTCTGCGTGCGGTGGGCGGACGCAATAATTTCACGTATGTCACAGTTTTAAAAGTTAAAATGGCTGTATTTTTTATGTGATCTAAAAGACGGGTGGTATAAATATAAAAGGTAAAATTTAGGTATAAATACATAGGAACTGGGCGGTATGCATGTAAATGTCCTATTTCTTTATAATTATGAAACATGCTGTTAAAAGAAGACAAAAACATTCATAGGCAGGAAAGTAAGGTAGGAAGGAGAACCACAACTTAAATACCTAAAAATTATATACTTTACAAGCTATTTTACATAGCAAATTGCTCATAATAGATCTGCCAATATCAAAATATCAAGTAGCTATAATCAAGAATACAGAGCTTCAAAGTTGAATAAATACACTTCTTAGAGTACGCATAAGCAATAATACAGAAGCCATCTAGTGACAGAAGAGAGCAAGCATGCTTGAACAGATATAGTCGAAATGCTTATCTGATTTGAAAATGTTTGTAATTTTGATTTCCGGGCAGGCTCATCGGCACCTTCCCGTCTTGATCGGCCCGCATGCAGCGACTCGAGCCTTCAACCTGAGACTCGGAAGTGCTCTTTCTTCGCCGCTCATTGTGGCCGGCCAAGCGCCTCCGACAACTCCTCTTAGCTTCGTCGAATTCTGGTAACTCGTGGAATCTATCGCGCGAAAAAATAATTACATCAAATGAGAACAATAATGAGATTTTAAAGAGAACATTACAAATATTCTTGCATTCCATTAAAGTATTCAAAGATAATAATCATCAAAATCCATCCTTTTTAATGGTCTAAGCAGCTTGGGATTCTTACCAGTTTAGATATTCAATTTAAAACATTTAGGAAAAACAAAGAACTCCACAAATAATGCAATTATTACACTATTAAAATAAGGAAGATTAACAATTTTAAATGCTATGCAATTACATAACTAACACCAAACTTTAATGTTTACATACATGCTACCTTACATATGCATGAAAAGGTGTAAACTTTACTTAAAAGTTCAAATGGTGGTGTTTTTTACGTGATATGAAATATTTAGATGTTATAAATGTAAAAAGTAAATTTTTTAGGTTTTAGATATGTAGATATATAGAAATTGGGTGGTTTGTTTGTATATGCACCTCAAAAGAAAAACTAGGCCATCTAACCACAAGAATAAGACATTTGTCTTGAATGTCAAAAGATTTACAACGAATCAAGACGGCTAAATAGACATTAAAATTAAAACAAAAAACATATTAGAGTAGAAATTGCTTAAGCAATTCAGCACAAGAACATATAAAAGCAAATTAAGATTGCAGGCATAGAAAGACAAACAATCTCAGTTTTTTAGGCAATATTTAGGCATGATTTAGCTTAAATCTCATATTTCAGCCACCATAAATATGTTAAGTTTAGGATAAGCCAAAGGCCATACTTTATAGGGTAAAATTAATGGATTTAAGGATTTATCATTTCACAGACCTTAAATCCTGAAACAAATAGCCAAACAGTGTACTGGAATTCATCAAGGTTTAGCATTCCTCATGCCAACAAGTTTTGAGATGTAAATTCTTCCAAGATTTACTAAATCAAATTGTAGCAAAAAAGTTTAATGGTTAGTGCTAGAATTTACAGTATGCATAGTCAATTAGAAAATTCAGTTTTAAAGTAAAAAAGTAAATTTGATCTTTGAAAAGAAAAAAAAAAATAGGGTTCCTCTCCACCCCTCACTCAAGTACTCTAAATTCCCTCTATTACGCTTGATCAATTGAATAACTACTTTGCTTCCAGACATAAAAACCAAAAATGAAATATATGCAGAAAGAACAGTGCTAAAAATCCAAGCTTTTTTCCCGAATCGAGCTTCCGAGTGAAGTGTTGGTGATAAATGAAACGTAATACGAATATCAGAGAGATTAATTTGAAATCTACCCAAAATCAAGTCTCTTGAACTTTGATTCAGACAAAAAATCAGACGTTGTGGCACTGCTCATGCAGTAATTGCAGTAAACCACAAACCAAGTACAGGCGAAATTAATAAAAGAAAGACAAACTTAAATTTCCAGAAACTGCACAATATGTGGCCAATTAAAATCCTCAGCAGGTAACTAAACTTGCAATTCAACGATTCCTCTTCAAGCCCTGCATCAAATTTCATCAATCTCTGCTCGGAGTCGATCAATTCCATTATTATAACAATCGTTAGCAAAACCCGAATCACAATCCATCGAATCTCCGGAAAAACAGAACAGGAGAGGGTGAAACGGAAAAACCTGCTGCATTGCTGGCAGAACCGCTGCCGGAGTCCGGCAACGATGACCGCCGCCGCCTTGGCGTGCGCCTCGCAGACCTTATGTCGCCGATGATACCTCTTCGCTTCGGTCAGATCGGCCGTGCACTTCTCCGCCTGGCAGATCGGGTACGCCGCTCCGCCAGCAGCTCCGCCTCCACCTCCTCTCCCCCTTATCATCGGTGGCTGAATCGACGGCGGCTGAATTCTTTCCTCCGCCTCCTCATCTCCCTCCAAATCCCCGTTCTCCGCCGTCGCCACAGAGGCGTAGGCGGCGGCCGACGCCTTATACTTGGAGCTCCGCTGCGTATCGGACGGGGTCCGATCCATGGCTTGAGGGAGTGAGGGGGAGTGGAGACTGGTGAAAAAGAGGCGAGGAAAGGGTGGTGAGGAGAAAAAGAGAGAGAGAGGGAGGGAGGGGTTTGTGGTCCTCAGTCCTCGCCATTTTTACTTCCATCGTCAACTTTGTCCGTAGATCGAAGAAATGGAGAGGTAGTAAAAGACTTGCAGTAAATTCAAGGAAGCGGAAGGGTTTTCCCGCAGATTTTTATTTTTTTTAAATATATATTTTTACCCAGGTAATTTTCAAAAGTGAGCATTATGTAATATTGGAATTTATTTGGATTTCTTTAGAATTTGACATGATACTAAAAAAAAATTCTAAGAGATCCCGCATGCGCTCATGGAATGATGGGAAATAGAAATGGCTTTGTTTCTATGCGAAATTTTGTAATAAAAAAATTTATAGGGTTTGATTCGCATAAATTAAAAATTCCACTATTTCTCATTATTATAGAAAATAAGATTATTAAATAAAGGCTGTAACACCCTTAAATTATAGTGAATATAACTGAGAATATTTTAAAAATATTGAAATGTGATTAAAGTAGTCGGTAAATGATAATGATTTAGCAAAAATAAATAAATGATGATAACAAAACATTTATCTCACTAAATGGGGTCAAGTGCATGAATCCTTTTTTTCATTTGTCCTATTTTCTATCATATTTTCATTAAATTCTAAATAATTAAAATCATTTTTTTTTATACAATATGCTCAAGTCTTCCTAGATCTACCTCAGCATTTCTTAACAGAAGTCGATCTAAAAGATTTACTCTTCTAATCTGATCATTAGATAGCCGACGTTTAATTTGACCGAACCATCTAAGACGACTCTTTCTAATTTTATGTGTCACTGGAGCTGCACCAACCCTATCACAGATAACTAAATGATGATCGTTGAGCGAAGAATAACAGATTGTTGATTGAACGACAACATATGAGCAATAATGAATAACTAAATATTAATGATAGTGTGAAGATGTTCTAGTGATAATAATAGGGCATAAGTAATTATTAATGACGATCATTGAAGTCAAATATTGAGTAGAGCTCTTGAATTATTCGGGCCTCTAATCTCTCCCTTTTTTAGTTGAGATCTTTATCATGGTGTATTTTTATAATATTAACCAAAATCATAAAGGCCTTAAGAATTGAGCCAGCTCAATCACATTTGAATTAAACCCTTGTTAACTGATACACCATCAATGAAATTTCATCATATGACAGGAATTTTGAGGCATAACATAGGTTTTGAGATAATCTTTTAAGTAAGAAATTGTTAAACTTTGATCAACTCTCCGGGCGTTTTTCACAGAGAACAAATTAGGACCTATATATATAACATAAAGGAAATGTTATAAATAGGGGTGTAAACGAACCGAACACGAGCTCAAAAAGTGTGTTCGTTTTTGGTTTGTTTGCTTAACGAGCCGAACACAAGCTGTTCACGAACAAAGAGTATTTTTAACAACTCTAATCATGTAGCCATAAGACATAAGACAATAAGGATTTGAACAAAATTTAAAAATTATTATTTATATTAAAACATCATTTGAATCTAATTTAACAATTTTTAATATATATATAAACTTGATGAGTAGTATTTCAAGTCAAAACAAGCCGAACACAAACGAACACATCTTAGTTCTTGTTTGGCTCATTAACTTATCAAACAAAATTAACGAGTCGAACACGAACTTCTTAATGAGCCGAACACAAGTTGTTCGCGAACAATTTGCCGTTTTGACTTATAAATGTCTATCAATTTTGAGATCTGCATAACATTATTATATATAAATAAATAATTGTTTTGTAGATAAATATATAAATATTTGGTAAATATGTTAAAACGGCATTTTCATCATGATTTTTTAAATTTTTTTAAGACATTAAGTGTCACCGTAGTGGGCCTCAGTTATCTTATCTCCTTATTCTTTGCCTTACACAAATTGTGAGATTAAAGAATTTTATGCCACATGTACTAAGGATTTTGTTTAGGGGTAGTATTAGCCTCTTATGTACAACCCTACAATATATATATA